GACAGCGTCTAATTAATTATGATCAACTTAATTACTTAATTAAGATTACATTAACTATTAATTAATTTGCTTGATCATTTGGACGATGACAAAGAGATAGTAACCTTAATGCATTTTGTATTTGAATTGATAACTTAAATTATGGATATTGGATGTATGAGCTCACCACGTGTTGACAATTGAGGCATTGAGACACAAGAAATTACGGATTAATGTAATTTTAAAATGTAGACTTGTCGGCTGAAAATGAATATCGAGCTCGGGTCGTTAATCAATGTTAATAAGTCGACCTCCAATTTAAACGAACTAAACTCAAACCTTAATAGACCGAACAATAGAAAACTATATTAAAAAAAAAAAGAATCATATTTCAGGCCTTAACGAGTCGAGTCGAGCCCTGCTCGTTAATTGAACGAACTTTTAACGAGCTCGATTTTGACTCGTTTATTCAAAAGAGCTCATCGGACCAAACTTAAAAACGACTCGCTTCGTTTAACAGCTCTACAACGTGGTAGAATTCTCCAAATAATTAGTGAGAAATAATTTGCAAATTCATCATTGAGAACAACATTCTTATTTAATTGTCGATTTGGACAAGCTTAACTAAATATCCATATGAGAGATTACCGACAAAATGCTCTTAAATCGCCATCACAACATTAAATAGTGATCTTAGCTTATAAATAGTGATCGCAGCACATGAAGACCCATCGGACCAGAAATGCTAAGTTCGCCAATTGATCAGCCGCTAAGTTCGCCATAATTGTATTTTTATGTGTTTATTTTATTTTCTTAATCTACATATTAAAATATTAATCGACATAATTTTACGTAGCCTATTAAGATTTAAACTTACGTGGATATCACTTTGATGAGTAATGCTCACCTACCCACGGTGGGCACATGTTAATATGCCCACTGCTTATGTGGCATGCACACATTGGTGATGTATTTTTTTTGAACATATTAACATCACCAATGTGTGCATACCACATAAGCGGTGGGCATATTAACATGTGCCCACCGTGGGGTAGGGGCATTATCCTCACTTTGATATCGCTCACATATTTTCAACAAGACGTTACTAATAATTATTTCAATTATAATTTCATATTTGCAACTATAATCATACAACATCTCTTTAAATTTATCATTATTATTAAAATGGTCTACCTATTTAAATCTCTCAGAATTATAAAGAAAGAAATAAATTTTAAGGCTTATTCAATCCAGGTTGACAATCACAATAAAATGTACTCCATTTAATTGGTGGAACAAGTTGACACGTGGGAGATTATATCACACCATAAATTAGGGCTATAAATTAAATATCAGATAATCCCTATCATTTTTCACAATTTTTTTTTTCTTTCCCAAAACAGTCACCAATTTATCCTAAATTGACTCTTCAGCCCCCTTTGACTGTTCAATTAATTCATCGCTTGCTTAGTTACCGTGTAATTAGAGCTTAATTAAACGAACTAATTGATCAATGTTGTGTCAAGTATTACTCTCAAAGTTGTTATATTATAAATTGCATACTGATTACCAAGTACTTTATAATTTATGTACAAATTATATAACAACTTTCAGAGTATTAATATGCAAATTATGTTATGATTTCTTCACATTTTCAAATTATAAGCTCGCTAGTATTAATATCCATATAAAACATGTGTTGAGTTAATGATATATATGTGTAAAATTATTTATGTCTAATACGTACCAAACTTAACTCTAGAGCAAAAATAATATAAGAGCAACATCACGAAACATAGATTTTTGCCATGTCAGCATCCGAAGCGTGAGAATCTGCCACCTAGGCTCAACAAGTTTTAAATTAATATAAGCAACATCACGAAGCATAGATTTTTGCTATGTCAGCATCCAAAGCGTGAGAATCTGCCACCTAGATTCAACAAGTTTTGAATTAATATAAGCAACATCACGAAACATAGATTTTCGCTATAGCAGCATCCAAAGCGTGAGAATCTGCCACCTAGGCTCAACACGTTTTGAATTAATATATAGGGAGGGATATATATACAAGCTTGCTAGAAGAACCAGCAAAGAATATGGATATGATAATTAAAAATAAAAATAATAATTGAGCAGATTATACAATTAATAACTCATTTTTGATAATAAAATATTATTCAGTTTCAAATGCAGTGGAAATAATTTCTTGGGACTAATTAATTGACTTTTGCATCTCAATGTCCATAGCTTATTATTTCCAATCAATAGGAGTCAAAATTGATTAAAAAAATTTAAAAAAATCTTCCAGGCTTTATACATTATTTTGGAATACTTATTTAATATTTCAATTTGGTACTCCACTTCTTTGCCACACGCACAAATGGCATATATTCTAAAATATTTATTTTTAAAGAAATAATATGGTATATACTTTGCACAGGCTCCAAATATATATTTTTTGTGATTATTAAAAAAAAATACAGAACCAAGATTAAGAAGCCGAAATAATAATAATAATAATAATAATAATAATAATAATAATAATAATAATAATAATAATAATAATAATAATAAAATAATTATTATAATTATAATAAAAAAAAAAGCAGGTGCAAGACATGCATGTGCATGTAGGGCCAATGAGATTAGCAGTTGGTACAGTTCAAGTTGAAACAAAAGCATGTGCATTTTTGGTCTTTGTAAAAAACCTAAATTTAATTTGATTCACTTCTTGTGGCTCTCTCATTTGCTGCGTGCGTCCTCATTTGTCACTTTCCACAATCCTTTTATTTAATTTTTAATTTTATTTTCTTTTCATTATCTTTTATTATTATTATTTTTTTCATTTATCTTCCTCTTGTTGGTCCCAAGGTGATTATTTTCTTCTATATAAATAGACCTCTCATGCTCCACATTTTGTACTAAGCTCAAGCCTTCAATTCATCTGCATCTCTCTCAACTACACACATTAGCATTTCACATTTTTAATTAGCTAGCTATCTGATCTCAATGGAGTTTTCTCTAATTTCTCTAGTGATTCTCTCGATTTTTGTGCACGGTACTTACGGCGACTATGGAGGATGGAATACCGCTCACGCCACTTTCTATGGCGGCGGAGATGCATCGGGCACAATGGGTACGCAATTCTTTCTAATAGAACTACTTTTACGTGCATGAACGCGTAATTGTACGGTCACACGTTAATTTTACTTATATAGATATACATATAAGGGAGATGCTACGGTTTCGTTATGGAGTCATTTCGTCGGAGTTTGTAATTAGATCAACTATCCCGACGATTACACGATGATCTAACGATTACAAACTCTGACAGAATGGTTCCGTAACGGGACCATAGCATTTCCTTATACATATATATGTCTAAATCGTCATATATGATACACTTTAATTCCAATTTCAAATTGTTTTTAGTATTCTTGGACGACACATTTTCTTTATCTAATCTGACCCGAACTCTACACATTCATAAAAGTCTATAAAACCCTCCATTCATCACGAGAAAACAATTTTCATTCATTCAACTATACCAACTATTAAAACTCTTGAGGGAGAGCTTTGCTGCCCTTGTGGTCCTACCCGGCTCGATTCCGGATTAGTCGGTTCCCCTGTGGATCCGGAAACCGGAAGGTCCATGTACCAAAAAAAAAAACTATACCAACTATTGCAAATTTGATCCAACAATTCCCTAATGTACTACTACTACTACTAATTGCAGGTGGTGCTTGCGGCTATGGCAATTTGTACAGCCAGGGCTACGGTACAAACACCGCAGCCCTGAGTACAGCCCTGTTTAACAACGGTCTCACTTGCGGCGCGTGCTACGAGCTGACGTGCGCTGGCGAGCCCAAGTGGTGCCTCTCGGGTGTCATCACTGTCACCGCCACCAACTTCTGCCCTCCCAACCCGGCCCTACCCAACGACGATGGCGGGTGGTGCAACCCGCCACGTCAGCACTTCGACCTGGCCCAGCCGGCCTTCCTGCAGATCGCCCAGTACCGAGCCGGCATTGTCCCGGTTTCTTACCGAAGGTACGTAAGAATTACACTAAATGTGTCGATATTTATTTGAGAATTACGTTAATAATTTGTACACGGGCTTTCGGTCGTTTTACTTTCGTCACAAAATTAAATTTTTTCTATCAAAATTCGCAATCTACACTAGATGATCGTGTAATGTTGTGATTCAAAAATTATTTGGAACTGTTTTTACCATTATTTACGAACTTTTAATTTTCAACTTTTTTCACTACGGTGAAAAAATTATTTATGTTTTTTTACCACTATTTACGAGTTCTTTTAATGGATTTGTAAACAGAGTGCCCTGCCGAAAGAAGGGTGGAGTGAGGTTCACGATCAACGGGCACTCGTTTTTCAACCTGGTGCTCGTGACCAATGTAGGCGGCTCGGGAGACGTGCAATCGGTTTCGGTTAAAGGGTCGAAGACAGGCTGGCAGGCAATGTCGAGGAATTGGGGACAAAATTGGCAGAGCAACTCGAACCTCAACGGCCAGGCGCTGTCGTTTCAAATCACGACTGGCGACGGGCGAATACTCACGAGCTACAACGTGGCGCCGCCTGGGTGGCAGTTCGGACAAACGTTCGAAGGGGGCCAATTTTAGTTTTCGCGTAATTTTGGAACTATAGAATGATATATAAACCAAAAAAAAAATGTCGGGTTTGATGAAGGTTGATACTTTTTTTTTT